GGGTGTGGGTTAGTGTGTGGGTTAGGGTGTTGGTTAGGGTGTGGGTTAGTGTGTGGGTTAGGGTTTTGGTTAGGGTGTGGGTTAGTGTGTTGGTTAGGGTGTGGGTCAGGGCTTGGGTCAGGGTGTGGGTTAGGGTGTGGGTTAGTATGTGGGTTAGGGTGTGGGTTAGTGTGTGGGTTAGGGTGTGGGTTAGTGTGTGGGTTAGGGTGTGGGTTAGGGCTTGGGTTAGGGTTTTGGTTAGGGCTTGGGTTAGGGTGTGGGTTAGGGTTTGGGTTAGGGTTTTGGTTAGGGTGTGGGTTAGTGTGTGGGTTAGGGTGTGGAATAGTGTGTGGGTTAGGGTGTGGGTGTGGGTTAGGGCTTGGCTTAGGGTGTGGGTGTGGTTAGGGTTTGGGTTAGGGCTTGGGTTAGGGTTTGGTTAGGGTGTGGGTTAGGGTTTTGGTTAGGGTGTGGGTTAGGGTTTTGGTTAGGGTGTGGGTTAGTGTGTGGGTTAGGTGTGGGTCAGGGTGTGGGTTAAGGCTTGGGTTAGGGTTTTGGTTAGGGTGTGGGTGTGGGTTAGTGTGTGGGTTAGTGTGTGGGTTTAGGGTGTGGGTTTAGGGTGTGGGGTAGGGCTTGGGGTAGGGCTTGGGGTAGGGCTTGGGTTATGGTTTTTGTTAAGGTGTGGGTTAGTGTGTGGGTTAGATGTGGGTCAGGGTGTGGGTTAGGGCTTGGGTAAGGGCTTGGGTTATGGTTTTGGTTAGGGTGTGGGTTAGGGTGTGGGTTAGGGTGTGGGTCAGGGCTTGGGTCAGGGTTTTGGCTAGGGTGTGGGTTAGGGTGTGGGTTAGGGCTTGGGTTAGGGTTTGGGTTGGGAGCCTTAGGATTGGTTTTAGTTGGGGTGTGGGTTAGGGTGTGGGTTAGTGTTTGGGTTAGGGGTGTGGGTTGGGGTGTGGGTTAGGGTGTGGGTTAGGGTGTGGGTGTTGGTTAGGGCTTGGGTTAGGGTGTGGGTTAGTGTTTGGGTTAGTGTGTGGGATAGGGTGTGGGTTAGGGTGTGGGTTAGGGCTTGGCTTAGGGTGTGGGTTAGTGTGTGGGTTAGTGTGTGGGTCAGGGTGTGGGTTAGGGCTTGGGTTTAGGGTTTTGGTTAGGGTTTTGGTTAAGGTGTGGGTTAGTGTGTGGGTTAGATGTGGGTCAGGGTGTGGGTTAGGGCTTGGGCAAGGGCTTGGGTTAGGGTTTTGGTTAAGGTGTGGGTTAGTGTTTGGGTCAGGGTGTGGGTTAGGGCTTAGGTTAGGGTTTTGGTTAGGGTGTGGGCTAGTGTGTGGGTTAGGGCTTGGGTTAGGGTTTTGGTTAGGGTGTGGGTTAGTGTTTGGGTCAGGGTGTGGGTTAGGGCTTAGGTTAGGGTTTTGGTTAGGGTGTGGGTTAGGGTGTGGGTTAGTGTTTGGGTTAGTGTGTGGGTTAGGGTGTGGGTTAGGGTGTGGGTGTGGGTTAGGGCTTGGCTTAGGGTGTGGGTTAGTGTGTGGGTCAGGGTTAGGGCTTGGGTTTAGGGTTTTGGTTAGGGTGTGGGTTAGTGTGTGGATCAGGGTGTGGGTTAGTGTGTGGGTTAGGGTGTGGGTGTGGGTTAGGGCTCGTCTTAGGGTGTGGGTGTGGGTTAGGGCTTGGTTTAGGGTGTGGGTGTGGTTAGGGTTTGAGTTAGGGTGTGGGCTAGGGCGTGGGTTAAGGTGTGGGTTATGGTGTGGGTGTGGGTTAGGGTGAGGCTTTTATTTATTTATTACTGCTATTGATAAAGCGCCAACAGATTCCGCAGCGCTGTACAATTAGTGGAGAACGTACAATATACACAGACAAATACAAGAGGTAAGAGAGCCCTGCCCGTAAGCTGATATCTAGTCATTGGAGCTCTTTTATACAAAGTGCTTAGCTAGATGGCCCGTGAGCTTACAATCTAAGGATACCAGGGGGATTTGAGACAAGATGTAGCAGGGGGAGTTTGGAGGTGATGGCTGAAAGAGTTAACAGAGAGAAGCAGCTATTGGTAAAATATAAAGGTAATGAAGAGGTAATTGAGGGAGAATCTCAAACAGCTGGAGGAGCGTGCTATATATTTAGGGGGGGACCTGGGTGGGCGAGAGGAGGGGAGAGGAGGGGAGGGTGGGGTGGGTGGGAAGAAAAGAGGCAGTCTTTCACTGAGTGAGGCCTAAAGAACAGAGAATGAGATAGAACAGTCATATGGAGGTATTTACAACTGGGGAGGATAAATGGAGAGTGAGAGAGGGGGGAGGGGACGGGGGTAAAGTAGCCATGTGTTATATGCTATTGAAAAAGTTTAGCAACCAAATTAGGGTTAGGGTGTGGGTTAGGGTTACATGATATATGGAGGGTATATGATATACAGACATTATATGATATATGGAGGGTATATGATATACAGACACTATATGATATATGGAGACTATATGAGATAAACACAGCTGTATGGTACACTCCATGTTAACGGGGCCGTAATGAAGGCACAGTAATGCCTCGGGATGATTAAACACCTACCTCTTCTAAAACACCACAATCAAACACAACTTTAATTATCAATCTGCTGCGATCCCATCCCTGGGGCTCGTTAGTCCTCATTTAACTTCTTCTATTTAAAAAAAAAAGGGAAACAAATATGTCCGTTAGCAGAAAGTCTATTTAGGTTTCTTTTGGAAGCCGTAAGTGCTACATTTATATTTAGAGCTGACAAATTCTCAGAGTGAAAAATGTTCAGGTTTATAAAACCCTGGGGAGATCTAACCCGTTACACCGGATTCAATTGCTTTGCCCGTATTAATGAGCAAGTTTTATGTAAAACTAATACATTGAATCAAACATTGATAATTCTGTAATGCATATCACTGATAGGGTTAAACACAAGTGTAAGGAAACTTAGTATATTCAATCCTCATTCGGTAGTTTCCTCCCGAACCCCCAGAGCATCAGTGAGTATAGCTCTCCGTTCGGTAGATGGAATAGACGAAATCCATACGAATACAAATAGCTTTACAAGATAATTCCCTTAATAAAGCATACGAATCCCCAAACATCAGCCGAAGTCAAGAAGAAGGGTACAACAGAACTGGCTTTTAATGACCACACACAGCACAAACATACAATTCCCACCCCTAGTCCTGGAGATAATCACGTCTGATAAAGTAATAACTTGATTATCTCCAAGCAGAAAAATCACAATTTTCCCCAATATTCAGAACACCCCTTTAGGCATGGGGTATCCACACAAATAATATGTATCTGATAGCCCCGATCTGGGTGACCAACATATTC